AGGACTGTGGGATACTGATTGTAGAGGCGGTATGGGGCCATGAATGTGAGTCACAAAACACACTTGACTACTGCAAGAAATTGTTTCCATTTGTCTTCATCAAAGTGATAGTTTCGTCATAGCAAATGAAATGTTTTTTAGCCATCATTAGGGTTCAATCTAAAGAGCTTCATTTGATGCGATTGGCTCAGGGAGGTTTGGAGAAGTAAAGAAAAAGAACAGAAATTTCTCCAGCCAAGTTTATTTGTAAAGCCGATAGTACATTCACAATCTCGATGGGCTTTTCAGGCACACAACATCAATGATTCCTGACCCTGCCAAAGCTCTCAGAGAAGGAAAACAGCTTAAAAGAAAATCTTTGAACTTGAGGGAGAAAAACAAAAAAAATAAGACACCTCAGGGAGCAAATTCAAAGAGGAAGATCTAAGACCATGTAGAGCAAAAAGACATTTTGAAAAAATGAAATAATCAAGCCATTCAAAGGACATATAGTTTAAAAACATAATCAGCTAGAGTTGTACTCTTTCTCCCTTCACTTTGTCAAGGCTTAAGATTAGATATTCTCTGAATTGTTCACCACCATGGTAGAGATCTGGAGACGAAAGAGCCAACCGGTATTCATAGGTCATATCTACAATATGCTGATGTCTTGTACTAGCATTGACTAATGTTGCCATAGTCCTATTGACTGTAATACTTCACCTGAATTCTTTGTGGACATCACTGAAAGTTGTGATAACACTAACCATCACAAAACCCTCCGATACAGCCTAAAAGGTGGTATCAAGTATCAGATGTTTGACCAGTTAATGCACAGATACAACACAAACACAATAAGTTGTTAGCCCACTAAAAAATTAACTTATTCTCAAACAGAAACAATGACAGCCCAGAAAGACTATTTCAAAGTAAAGGTCTCACAAACAGAAGGTATGTGATGTCAGATTTTGACTCCTCTGATCATGGACTTGTTTGTCCAGTTTGATGGAGAGAGACTGAAGAGGCACTCATGTACACCTTTAAATGTCTTTATTTTATAATGTTGAGATTAGGGCCAGACTGATATGGGATTTTGGGGACCGATACCGATATCTATATTAGGGAGAAGAAAATCTGATACTGATATATTGGCCGATATCTTTCTTAGATCTATTTTAATCTTTAGAGATATATAGATAGACACATGTATTGTGTTGATCCCTCAACTGAAGTTATCAATCACTTGTGGAAAAGATATGATAATGAAGACAAGATGGTCACTTAACTGGAAGGTTACTGCTCAGGTACTCTGGATGGTGATAAAGCTTGTTGTAATCCATATAGCGCCCTCTGCTGGTGACAGCCAGAAAGAGAACTGCTCGTGTAATACAATGAAATGCTATTTGACTTGTGAATAAATCCAGTAATATCTGCACATATCTGCAATAAAATTAGCCGATACCGATACTCACTTGTTATGCTAATATCGCCCGATGTTATCGGCAGGCCGATTAAACGGTGGGCTGCAGTTATGATACATATCCCTGTTCAAAACAGTCATCATTTACATGTTTACCTCACTGCTCATTGGATTTGGGCTCCTACTGGCTGTTTTTATTTTAAGACTTTACAAGAAGTTTACATAACCAATAGCAGACTAGTTATGTTAACTAAACTGGTTTATTGTGGGTTTGGTTGCAAAAAGTTAGCATTTTTGTAACTCAATAAAAGCTAACAGTGTAATTGTCTTTTGGATTCTACGTCATTCACCTTTTGAAAGCATATAGCACATGTAGTTATTTGCAACTGCTGTTTTATCCTATAACCAGTCCCTTTGATAGCAAATGTTTTCGTTTAGGGTGGTGTTTTCCAATCAGTCTGTGTTGTGGCTTTGGGACAAGGCTATTTTAGGCTACTAATTCGAGGCTAACTGTGTTGAATCCTCCATTGGATGCTTCGTCATTAGCTTTCAGAAAGCATATGGAGCACATGTAGTTTGTTGGAACGGCCTTGTTTTCCTATTAGGTCCCCCGAGTGTGAGCTGAACTCGAACAAAAAGAATATTCTGGGACAGTTTTGGAGATGAAGGTGCCAGATCGGGCCTTGGTTCCCCACTCAGTCTGTTTGTCTGTTAGACCAGCTGTGATGCAGCCCTCTTTGGAGAGACAGACGGAGAACATGCAACCTTTATTCCAAAAAGCCAGGCCCGCCGGGATGAAGCTTCCTAAAAACAGGCGTCAGATGGCAGCGAGGACTGTGGACATGAGGAGCATTTTGATGCGAGTCAACAACAGCCTCCAACACTATACTAATACTGGAAGCGCTGTGGCGCCATAATAACTGCCCGTATTGTTTTCTGTCAAAAGCTGAGCAGGAAAGGAGGATTTGAGAGAAAACTTGCTGAATTATTCCCAGAGCTCATCATTATTCTATCAGCCCTCTGTAGTCAAGTACATCTCCCCTCTCTATTAGCTCTTACAGTACGTCTACAGTACATCTCGTCTTTAGTCCTGCTGATTGTTATTCATAGCAATGCAGAGGAATGTCGTGCTGAGAGCAGTTTGGTTGTGCATGAAAGAGAGAAAGAGATAGAATAAGAGAGCGAAAAGGGTAAAAAAGTGATTACTTGTCTGTAGTCAAACTGTTTCAAAGCCTGCGCTCCCCTCTCTGTCAGGAGATGAGGCTCACGCTGAAGCTGAGACCAGGCAGACACCGAAGATCTCTTCCTGCGTTCCGAGCTCCTCCTCATGTTCTTTCAGAGAAAAACTTTTTGCGGCGTGTGTATGAAGAGTCTGAAGTCTTCTGCCGCCTCAAACTTTGCATGAACTTCTTTTGTTTCTACAAAGGCTTCTGGGAGTTGAGAGCAAAGGCAAAACATTTTTTTCTGATTCTCTTGTGAACATCTCGGGCGCCGCACTTTTGAGGCTGTGGCATCTTTTGGGGAAAAGGCTCATGTGAGGTCCTAAACAGAGTCGCGGGTGAATGCAGTGTCTATTATGTGTCACTTAGCAGTTTAGAATTCAGATTTGTTCTCTTCAGATTAAAGAAAACAGAGATGACAATGATTCCAGCTCAGTCCGATCTGTTCTCAGTATCTCTAACAAGCTGTCTTCAGTCGGCAATCACATTAATCAGAAAAGCAATCTAGTGCAGCTTTGTGCTCTCTTTTCCACACCACACTTCAGAGTATTTCTAGGCCAGGTCCTTGTCTAACCTCTCTTGCACCCTAAATCTCCCTTTGCCGCATGATTGAATAAGATTTAACAGAAAAGATCAGAGTTTAGAAATCTGTTTAACCTTCAACCTCTCGGCATCAATCTCCGCTCTGTTATCAAACTGGAATTAAACGGTGAATCAACAAGGATTTAAGCTCTCAGCGAGGCAGAACAGATGGCCAGTTATTCATACAGTCAAATAATATGTGTTTGCCGCTATTTTTAATGATGCTGCCATTTTAAACCGTGTACAACATAATCTAACAACTTTAAATTTTGGGATTATCAAAGAGAGTCAGAGCCCACCTCCACATTATATGACCCATGAGGGGAAATAGGCAACAGAGTATGCAGCCTAGTCTCTAAAATGCAAACTAAGTTTCTCAAACTAGCTAAAAAAACACAAGGTATGAGCATGTCAGAGGATTATTTATCTCGCCTGAAGTTTACCGTCTGACTCAATATCGTCGACCTTCGACAGCGCCCCTTCCACTTAGTTTGTTCATTCTTGGAGAAAGAACGTAATGACTGTAGGTTGAAAACGTTGACATTTTCAGTATCCGATTTATCATTTAGTTTGATTTAATCAGAAAAGAAGAAATCATAAAAGTTTAAAGCGAGTGCTGCACTGGGTCAAAAAATATAGAGGGATCAGGTGCTCTTCAGGGATAGGGGACGGAGGTCAAATATCTAATAAATAAATGACTGTCCGGATTTCAAGCAAAGTTCATTGTGAAGAAAAGGCAGTCTTGACTGAAAGTCCGAGGCACTCTGATGCAGTATAAAATCCTCTGTAAACAGTGATGTGTCTCTGCAAAACATGTGTTTGTTTAAAGATGAAATCAGGGTCTTGTTTAGTTTAGCTTTTGCCACAACAGTTTGTAGGCAGATTACTCGTCAGGATCCCACAGTTTCCTGCTGTTTCCATATTTCCTGTATCCTTCCTTGGCCTTTTAAAGGTTTAAAAACTGAAACATTTGTTATTTCTTCTTCACCTTATTTGTAGTGCATTGCACCACACGTCAAGCTTTGGGGCATTTTCCTTGTGTTTTGCAAGCACACAAAAAGAACTGAGGGCTTCAGAGTACAGGAAGTAGTTGTTTTCCTCTCTCTGGTGTGGGCGATATTTTATCCTTTTCTGTTTGATCTCATCCAATCAGGAAGTTGTTTTTTTTACAATCTGTGTTAGAATCTGAGTTTACGATCTGGGAAAATGGATTTGTATTCAGAGAATTGGAGTTTAGATGGGACAGGTGATGGTTTTAAGGCTATCATTCATTGCCTGACCTCTACTGTAATACAAAAAAAATCAAGTTTCCTCCTACGCACCTGTCTACAAGAAATTGAAGGTTTGCATGAGCCTTTAAACTCATCAAAAAAAATATCAGGTGACTTATCATTCATTTTTTCATGTGTCTGTAGTTGTCGAGTTCTATTCAGTATTTTTATGCATAGATTGATGTTTACACTGCCTTTAAAATGCCCTCATATGGGATAGAAAATTGTACTGCACTGAATTGAACAGAACATCTTTGTTCTTTACCTTACATTGATTGAAATCCTCACAAAGGGATCTATAATACGAAACCAAGTGCTCAATATGCGTAGAAAAAATCCATAAAATGAAACGTTCTGGCTATAAAAGGGCTTTCCTGAAGTAGAAAACAGTTGGATGTAGTTGTGTGGTATTGATCACTTTCTTAGGGTACACGTCGCTCGATAGATTTCCTCCTCGACTGAAACCCTTCAGAGAGCTCACCACTATGTTTTTATTGACCCTCCATCCTTCTGCCTGTGTTTCTGCAGGTAAAGTATTGAACACGGACCTGCGCCACTACCTCAGTCTGCAGTTTCAGAAGGGCTCGCTGGACCACAAGCTCCAGCAGATCATACGGGACAACCTCTACCTACGTACCATCCCCTGTAAGTACACACAATGCAGGACTGCAAACAGAGGAGGCTGAAGTTCACATATTCTTTATCAAGCAGAAGTGCTGAAGCTAGAGCAAAAGAAAGGCTCTGGTAGAAAGTAAAAGTACTGAACCTTCTTTTTCACTGAAGCAAAAAGTGAAAAAGAAGCGCTAACTCAATCTTATTTCATTTTTGGAGACAATAAAACTGAAGCCGTCTTCCATTAAATGTATATAACATATATACTGTAAATGAGAAACGTTAACTTTGCCTCAAAGTTGTTATCAGTCCAGTAGTGAATTTCTTGTTGTTCTGACCCTGCTCTGACATCAACAACAACTTTTAGTTATAAAGGTTCCCCCTTGTCGACCACAGAAAGTAGCATTAGTTTCTACAGAAGAAAACAACTTGCACCCTATTCTTCGAAAGAAACAAGATATGTTGTCTAAGATGGACTTTCCTCTAAGAACCTGTGGTATTCATATAATGAGACTGATTCAATCATGTCATTGTTTAAAGCAAGGATCTAATAAACACCATTAACTTTCCTCTCTGTCCTTGAATTAAAAACATTTTTACAAAAAATTCTCTTGAAAACGTCAAAAGCAGCTTATATTTAGGGTATTAAAGAAGCAGAAGTATATATTAATGTTTCATCAGCATCAAAAAGAAAGTTTGTATCAGTAAGATTGATACATCAATTATTTTTCTGTATTTAAAATGTGATTGGACCCAGTATAAGCCCTTGTGGGACACCTTTTTCTATATCTCAAATAGCTGAAGATAAGACATCAACATTATATGATCTACAATTTGAGACATTTTCAAACCATTTAACATACTTTTTTAAGACAACCTCATGTTAGCCAACCCCTGTAATATTATAGTAAAGAACAATTTCAAAAGGCCTGTAAGACTTATAAGACAACTTCTAAATTAAGCTGTAATCGCTTCAAATGCATGCTAAAGTGGCGAGGCAGTGTTGAAAATCTAAGTTATAGAAAGTTGTCAGAAAAATAACTTCTTAGGTAAAGACATCAGAAAAATGGCACTTGTGTTTCCCGCCTCTGCTGCAACACGTAACTCGCATTCACTACAAGGCTGAAGAAGCAGCTACCAGGACAAAGCACGCCAGGAATGTACAATATGACCCACTTTTAGTGCATATGTGCTTTAATCTGAGGCACTTTATGGGAAGAATGAGAATGTTGCATGTGTGCCACACAGCTGGAAATCAAACCTACAAGTGGTGTGAATGTGTTCCCTTTTCAGGGAGCTAGACAAGGCTGAGCACACTCAAACGTACATATATTTACTGCACTAGCACATTGTCACCCTTCCACAGCTCTCTGTCACACACTTTGTAAAACGCACACACTTCAATGTCACCATGGCAACCCTGGCCAAGGACATCTCTCGAACCCCCATGTAACTTATTTACTGCTGTAGCATATCAGCGCGGTGATCAAAGTCATATTCTTTCCATAAATAACGCCACGTTTTCCCTTGGCTGCTCTGCTTTCCCTCGTTGACATTCTGCTCAGTGGGGCCGTCACCAACTATTATTCTTTGCTGAAATCAGTAATGGAGTGGTAAATAAAGAGGCTGGTACTGTGCTGACTGCCAAGAACCACTGCAAAGAACTGAAGCAGGATACATTTTTCAGGGTAGCAGTAATTCATACTCAATGGAAATGTCTATTGATTGCAGTATTTATGTAATCGATATGAATATTGCAAAACAGCTGTTGATTTAAGGCTCTCTAGAACTGATGCATTCAATTGTTCTTTTTATAATTGCAATGTGGGGAAATGTTTTAAGATGGCACTTGGAGCTGATCAGCACTTTACAGTTTTAATTTTGGATACTGATAAAAAAAATTGTAAAATGTCAAATAACAGGAGCTCTGGGGAAACATCTCTAGATTTACACCTCTGCCATTTACTTTGTTTTTATGGTGTTAGATATTTTAAAATGTAGGCTTGAATGAATGAATGAATGAATTGCAAATCGCAATCTCTACACTCACTATCCTTTTGTCCACATTCCCCAGATGGCTAAGGGATGTCCCTAGGTCTAATTATTGAATGCGTGAGGGCTCTAATGTTTCAAATTACGCACTATCCTTGAGTCTCCATATCTGCAGACGGGACTAATTTCAGAGTTCTTTGTAAACTTAGTGACATAAAATATGTACTTGTGGTGAGATTGTACTGCTTAAAATAATAAAATTAAACAACAACAACTTTGAGTTTGCGCTTCCAGCTGCAAGCTAGGAATTCAGATGCAGCTACTCTACTACTGATTTCTTCGAGCAACTGCATCACCAAAGTGAGCAGAGTACTATTTTGAAGTGTGTGAATCGCCACAGACCTGTGGATGAAACCATAGACTGTATAAATTGTAGTCTCAGTGACATCACCCATTGGTGACTTCAAAAATGTTTTAAAATGCCATATGAGGATATTTTAAAATTGCAACTAAAGATTGTGTTAATTGTGATTGCCTACTGAAATGCAGCGAGTAATTAAAATGTCCAAAATTAATTGTTTGACAGCACTAGTTTTAATTTAGTTATGCATCTCTTTTTTGGCAACTTGTGATGTCATGATAATGTGGCTCATTGCTAATTTTTATACCATCTCAACCCCTGCCCGCCTGTTCTTAAAGAAGTCCTTAAGGGTTCAGTGCATGGCCATGGAGCAGGGATTTGGACATTATGCAGAGGTGAAATTGCAGGAGACACAACTATAGACGCAGTATATATGTATGAAACTGCAAAGATGTCTGCAGAGATATTTCGGGCTAAACATTTCCCACATCTTGTTTTTGCCGAGTGACTCTGCTCAGAGGAGCGCCATAATTGAATGTAGTGAAGGTTTTAGTCACATGCAGAGCGACTTCTCCTGAGGCGATGACAGACTCTGAGGCACTGCACTGTCACAAACAAGCAGCGTCTCAGATCCCCGAACCCCCCCCCCCCCACGGGCCTGGAAGTTGCTCTGTCTCGTTCAGAGGCGACTTGCATGCACAAGTGTGACATATTTTCAGGAAGTAAGCTTCTTACCTTTCATGTATGTTTAATTTTGTTGTAGGTTTTTTGTTGTTTTTAGTGTCATCTTGAAGAGAGGACTATCTTTCTTCAAGCCCTCGCTCCGCTGCTTCTTCTTCTGTGTGTGTTTTGCTGTGCCTGTCTGTCATCCCTTTATCCATTCCCTTTTCCTTTCATATACCTGTCAGTCATTGCTTAGACTCTGTTTCCCTACACAGTTAGGTTCAGTTTGAATTCTTATTGATTTTTTTTTTCCTTCACGAACTTCAGTTGCACTCATGCCAGTTGAAGGGGATTGACAGAAGATGATTTTAGAGGTTTAAAAAAACACCAATCAGTGATGTCTTTCACAAGGACACACCAACCTTTCATTGTCCCCTGCTTTTTCCTCCTAACACACACTTTTACACACACATTACTATCACCTATATTAACCTGTGCACACACCTCAATCTTCACTACTGCTTCAAACATAGCTGTCTTTTTCTGTCCACATACAGTAGTGGCAGTCGTTGAGGTTTTACGACCCCGTAACCACCATTCATCAGCAGCAGCCAGTGGGCTCGCTCCTCTCCGCCCAAGCCTGACTCCCTAATCCCCGGCTTGAATTACTGTCTTAATGAGCAAGAGACCAGAACTCGCATGGTGACGGCACCTCCATCATTCACTCGCACGCTTTCAGCCTCCCATCCTTCACCCTCTCTGTTACACTTTCACTCTTTCTCTGTTTCAATTACCCCAGCCTGCCTTGTTGTATAAAACTCAGATTTATTCTGTTTTCTGCTCTGTTAAAAGCTTTTTATATTAATTGGAGGTCAAACAATGAGCAAGAAAATACTAGAATGCACAATATGTTGAAAACGTTTTGGCATAATGGATTGACCAATGTAATAAGCTCCATGCATCTAAAAGATTTATAAAATTTGACCGCAGAGACATAGTATTTAAGTATTTACACTTCAATTTGCTGTAGAGTTCTCTGGAAAAAAATGTTGTTTTTACTTACCCTGATTGCTATTCAGTGAGCTGCATACAGAATCATTTTTCTCATACCAGCCAAGCTGAAACCTCGAGTTGCAAAAGAGCAAAGACAATGCAGTTCCTCAAGTGTCCACTTGGGGCTGGCTCCAAAAGCCAAGTAATCCCCTTTATGTTAAAATAATATTAACAGCAGATATAAACATGTTAACAGCCTGGTAAGACATTTTTTTTTAAGCTAATGTCTCTACTTGTTGAAACTGTACCTCCACACTTTGTATGAAACACGTTTCTACAGACATAAGAGTCCTTTTAGAAAAATGAAAAATGAAATGAAATTTCCTTTTCTCAACTTTGAAGACGTTTTAGGCTTATACTGCAGTGTCTTCACTCCAGCAACCTCATGCCGTACATGTTTGACTTCTCTTCTTTTCGGCACAGAGAAGTTATTTTCTCATTCCAGTAAATCAATACTTTAGGATAGAAGAAAACGAGTAATAGGGCCTATTGAGGGAGTACTTTTGTACGCCGCAAAACTACAGATTACAACACACAAACTTTTTCCTGAATGTGTCCAAAATCACCAATGTATGATAAATTAGCATTTTTTTAAGGTGAATTTGTACCCAAAATGTGCGCACAATCACACAAACAAGAAGAGGATTACAGTGGCTGTTTATGTTGATATACCGAATGTCCACTTTACTGTCGGCCATCTTGCTGTCCTGTTTGTGTGTCAACCCTATGGTGTCAACCAACAATCCTGTGGAAGGCAATACCACAGGATTTGGGGCTATAATGAATGTATTGATTTGAACTTTTGGACCAGTTTTCAAATATAGAGAGGAATTTTCAAGATAGAAATAAAGAAATATGGGAAGAAAAAAGAATAAGATGGCAGTGAGTGGTTTCTGAATTTGAAGGAAAGGAGAAAAAGTGAGGAGCAGAGAGACAGAGAGAGTGAGTCTTCAGTGTCTGTGTG